GGTTTTCTTCAAGGCTTTGGGGAGAAAGAAGGTGTTTGTATCAGCCTCCATCTATTCTGCAGCCCCACGGTTCTTTTCAGCCACAGGTTCTAAGGCTTTTGTGTGGTTTTTTTCCAGTTCAGCCATTCTCCTACAATCTGGACTAATTCTCTTTTACCATTCCACATAATTAATTTTGCTTCCATTTGCTGTGTTTTGGATTGTTCAGTCACCTCCTGCTGCAGTAGCTGCTAATTTTTTGACTCCTGTGCAGTGAACAACGCAAGAATCATTATAACAACAGTGTTACACAATATTTTTTAACACAAAGTGCATAAAACCTCTGACAAAAGTGATTAAATTTCATTGTTGCCATCTTTCTTGATGGAAAGAACAAAAGAAATCGAAGGGAACTCTCATCCGACAGCAAATTAGCTGCACACGGAGATGGTCTGCGATTTTGCCAAAATGCTTCTGAGCTTCTGTATTTTGCTGCCAGCAGTTTGTGCCCATCTCAGCTGCTCGGTGACACGCAGGAACGGCCGTTTGCTTTTTCATCCCAGCGCAGGAGATGAAGTCCCACCTATGGACCAGGACCTCCGGTTAAATATGGGCGTTTCACCCGCTTTTTTCCATGAAGAACGACGGCATCTCGGGTTCCAGGCGCTGCTATTCAGCATTCCCAGGCATTCTGCAGAAATTTCCTTCCAGGATTTCATACGCAGTGTTTTTATCCTGATCAGAGCCAAAACCTAACACTGATCTAAAAGTACTATCATTGCAATAATCTTCTACATGCTTTTCTCCACGAATTTGTCCAGCAGAAACTCCTGTAGCATCCGCACAATGTCTGGAGGCAAAAAAATCTGCAGTTTGATTACACGCAGGGTAAAGAAATATCGCCTTTTGTTCTGACCTCCTGGATTCATCTCGTTCCCTTCAGCACTCTCCTGTCTGATCTACCAGCCAGTGCATTAAATATATGACTGATTTTAAAGGCACAAATTAATTCGAGTTTCTTACAGAGAATCTGGTTTTTGCTTACCCAGGTGTTTAGTACTGTTTCATTCTTTCTGGAGCCAAATTTGGACTGAGATTTCCATTGGAAATGCAATTACTAAAGCTTAGAAGCGTTGGGGTCCAAGAATTCATTTCAGTCAGTCATCTGCACTTCTAAATATATGGTAATTGCTATTCTTTGTGTATGAAATGAGAGAAAATAGAACAAATTAGAGAAATGTTACCTTCTGCAGACAGGGTATTTCTGAGGATAAGATCATTTTAAAAGTATAACATCATTAACAGAATTGGGTTTTTAATCCTTGTTTGCATCTTGGCACGGTCACAGGGCACATTTCTTATGTTTTGTACATTTATTTGAAATTGAATTAGGAAAGATTCCTTTTCTTTTTGCCCAGATTACTGGCTTTGGAGGCTGTGTAGGTGTTTTTCAGATGCACACACCACGCTTACTGAAAAGCAATTGCATTTTGTGATACCATATATATTATGCCCTTCCTATCGAGGTATAGTCATGCGTTACGGAGCTGCCTTTCTACAAATTTCCAGAGTGACATTTTATTATTGCAGATCATTTCAGGAAACTTCCTGAGAAAGTAAAATGTCTCCTCGTATAAGTGCCTTTTCAGCCAGAAGCAGAAGGGAGTGCCTCGGGACAGTGAAGACTAAAAGGATTAGCCATTAGGAGGGCTCTCATATCACCTCTGTCTTTAAAGCCATCCTGACAGTTTGCCCGACAGTGATTTTGGGCAGCGTGACTGTGACCTGCTGGTGGCTGTGGTTCCTGCAGGGCCAGGGCTGAGAGTGGGTGACACCTACTAACCTCACACCACGGCTACCAACGTTGACTGTCACTTTTGCTTCTGCTAATTGTTTGGCTGTGACGGTGCCGTCGCCTAGCTCCCATCAACAGCAGAAGCTGTTCCAGGGGAATCAGTCAGGGGAAGCGTTCGGGTAGCTGGGAGGAAGAAGCAAGGCTGTTCCTCATCCAACAGTGCTGAAAAGGTGGTTGCTGTAGAAACCTCTTCCAGGGCCAGCAAATGTCAAGAGCCAGCCTGTACCCACTGCAGTGCCCATAGATCAGGCTGGAGATGCTCCCGTGCGCTGGGAACCTGCTGGCCCTGGTGTCCCTTTCTGGAGACAGGGGGATTCAGCCATCCCCATCCCCATCCCTCCGGACACAGTCACCATCACCCCACGCCTGTTCCCAGGGACCGCTCCATCCATCGGGGTGTGCTCCCCATCCCCGTCCCTCCGGACACAGTCACCATCACCCCACACCTGTTCCCAGGGATCGCTCCATCCATCGGGGATGGGGTCCCTGGTGTCACAGAATCACGGAATCACGGAATTGTTGGAGTTGGAAGGGACCTTCTAGAGATCCTCCAGTCCAACTCCCCTGCCAAAGCAGGGCTGCCCAGAGCACATCACTCAGGAGCATCCAGGCGGGGCTTGAAGATCTCCAGAGAAGGGGACTCCACGACCTCCCTGGGCAGCCTCTGCCAGGGCTCTGCCACCCTCACCCCAAACAAGTTCTTCCTCACATCCCAGTGGAACTTCCCATGGTCCAGCTTGTGCCCGTTGCCCCTCGTCCTGTCCCTGGGAACCACTGAGAAGAGTCCGGCTCCATCCTCCTCCAACCCACCCTTTAGACACTTGTCAGCATTGATAAGGTCTCCCCTCAGCCTTCTCTTCTCCAGGCTCAAGAGCCCCAGCTCTCTCAGCCTTCCCTCCTAAGGGAGATGCTCCAATCCCTTAATCATCTTTGTAGCCCTAATGTTGCCCTAACTGCATTAGCGTGGGTGAAACACACAAGTTTACCACCACACACCCCCCAGAGAAGAGGAGCTGAGACCCCACATGAGATTAGCCACCAAACAGCCCCTTACCAAGAAGGACCATCCTGGTGGCCAGCCCACCGCTGTGCCCCAGCAGCAAAGCACCCCTGCTCCCAGGTGTGGGCTCCAGCCAAGCCGCCCACACCAGGGGCAACGCTTCCCTGTCCCCACCACCTCTGCCACCACCAGAGCTCCAAGGTGAGGAGAGAGGGGTCTCCCCTCACCTGGTGCCGTGGAGAAAGCAGCAGGTCCATGCATTTTGGTGCTTGGTCCACGCACTTGGTGCTTTCCCCCAGGTCTCATGCTCACAGCTGGCTTCAGCCTGGACGGGGAAAGCTGGATCTGCCAACTCGGAGGGAAAAAGCCTGAGGATGTGTTTTAGGTCGGGGTGGCAGCAGAAGGCTGGGGCTGTACAGGGAGCTCAGGTACCACTCGGAGGAGATCAGACCTCTTCTCCCCTGGGTCCCTTTCGCTGAGCCACCGTCAGAGAGCCAGCAGATCAGAGGGGTCCTAGCTGGAGCTCTGTTGCAGGCTGATGGCAGCTTAGCTATTGCACGGGGTGAACGAGAGAGGAGGCACAGGATTTGATTGTAGCTTCATAAAGGGGCTGAGTCATAATTTAACTGAGTTCAATTCATTTATACAGCAGCGGTGCCTTTTCAAGTAAAGATGCTCCAGATACAAAGTGCTTTACTTATTCTTTTTGATGAGGACCTCTTCAGTGCTTGCTTCTTTGGAGTTGAGCCCACTTACAGTCCAGCTCATACGGGTGGTGCAAATGTACTGAAATGAATGGTTTGTCTCCCCAGAGCTGAGGTCTTGTTGTGTGGGTTTCATGAGTTGCTTTGTGTTTCTTCTGTGGGTTTCCCACTGGTGAAATGAGCCGAATTGTCCATCTCATCCTGCCCTGCTCTTTGTGAAGGGTTCCTGGGCTTCGCTGGGACAATTTGTCATAATTAGTTCTGGTTCAATTCATCTCGGGGTTCTGTGTGGAAGGTATCCTGGGTGTCTCTTGGCTGGGTAATTTGTTTCAAAATATGCTTTCTGAGACTAATGTTTCCCTTTCCATTTGAGGGACAGAGCTGCATTGTTCTTAATATAACATTGATTCTGCAGAGTGCTGTTCCTGATCCTTGGGGTAAACTTTGAGAGATATCCATGTTCTGAATGAAGACACAAGAATATCTCATTATTCAGCTATTTTGAAGTCTCTCATGTTCTCAGCTGCTATAGACACTGTTGATCTGTTTTGATAAGTGTGTTAGAAGCCCAGAGCTTGGCAGGACACGTTATTGATCTCACACAATCCATTCCGGGCATTAGCATGGGAGTATCATTCACAAATCAATTTCTCTGAGCTTTAATTTAAATACCAGTGCCCCGTGAGGATCTTTCTGGGTCACTTTTATTCTCAAGCCATACTTCAGCGCTGAGTAAACTGATTAATAAATACAGGCACCCAAATTAGCTGTGTGCCAGCTGCTGCCAGATGTAGCTATCTAGTCTGCTCGGTTTGCTGGCGTACTTGTTTCTGTGAAGAATAATACTCAGCTCTGTCTAACTTCAAAACAGTGTTCAGATTTCAGCCCCTCAATCCCAGCTGCTCTGTAAGGAGGCAAGTATCCCTCTGTTGTTAAGCCACACTGCCTGCGAAGAATATTTAAGGTGAAGTAGTGTCATTTAGCTAGTTGTTAGACTGTGTAGAAAAACTGTCTGCTGCCCTTCTCATCAGCGGAGAGAAACTGAGAAGTACTTACCAGGAGAGCTTTAGGAAGGGTTGGAGTGAAGTTAATGCCACGAAGTGCTGTGCAATCCATGTAAAGAGTATGATGAGGCAATTAGAAATGAATGTAATGTTTGATTTGGTAAGGATACGGGGGAATGGTTAAGAGCGAGGAACGGAGCTCGAATGGTGACTCGGAGGCACTGCCAAATCGATGTTCCTTTGCCTTCAGCTACTGCTCATGGAAACCAGATGTGTGGGAACTGGCTACGGGTTTATGGAGTGTCTGGAGAGGTTTCTTTGTTCACTCCTCGTGCACGTGCCCCTTACTGGTATTGTAGAATTAAAATATCCCGACGGTTTCTCAGAAATGACGGCCTAGCTTCCCAAATTATTTCCTTTTCTTTTTTCCTTTCATTTCTTTTCTCTCTATGTTTCAGATTATGCTTGGCCTTTGCCTAAACAGTTGTGCCCTATATGGATTTCCCTAGATGTGCTCTTTTCAACTGCATCTATTATGCATCTCTGTGCCATCTCTCTTGATCGGTATGTAGCAATACGCAATCCCATTGAGCACAGCCGCTTCAATTCCCGCACCAAGGCTATTATGAAAATTGCTGCAGTTTGGACCATATCCATAGGTAAGCAAATGCGGCTCACGATCTTAACTGTGTCTTAATGAATGATAGTGTTGCTCCCATTTTCATTTTGGATTTTTTTTAAGAGGGTACTCAAATTAATGTACCTGGCCTGCATGCCTGAGTATAATAAATGATTATTTATTATATAATCAGGGTCCAGCAGAGGACCACGAAGATGATCAGAGGGATGGAGCAGCTTCCCTATGAGGACAGGCTGAGAGAGCTGGGGTTGTTCAGGAGAAGAGAAGGCTCCGGGGAGACCTTAGAGCCCCTTCCAATATCTGAAGGGAGCTCCAGGAGAGCTGGGGAGGGACTCTTTGTCAGGGAGTGCAGTGACAGGACAAGGGGGAATGGTTTTAAGTTGGAAGAGGGAAGATTTAGATGAGATTTGGGGAATAAATTCTTTGCTGTGAGGGTGGTGAGGCACTGGAACAGGTTGCCCAGAGAAGCTGTGGCTGCCCCATCCCTGGAGGGGTTCAAGGCCAGGCTGGATGGGGCTTGGAGCAACCTGGTCTGGTGGGAGGTGTCCCTGCCCACGGCAGGTGGTTGGAACTGGATGATCTTTAAAATCCCTTCCAACTCTAACCATTCTGGGATTCTATGATTACTGGGAAACAGAAGTCTTTCACTGCACTTGGTGGTGACCAATATAAGCAGTTGTTTTCCAGAATCCCACCACACCCAGCACTGAAGCACGGCTGCTGTGTGGGCATCGAGATGCTGATAATGATGATAACACAGGCAAAGGGGGCTGTAAAACTGCCATGAGAGCCAAGCAGGGAGCAGTGTCAGCCAGGGCTCTAGGAGCAAACCTCAGGACACTGCGGTGGCTGCGGCGAAGCTCCCTCAGATGCTGGTAGTGGTGGAAGAGCAGGAGCCCAGGACCGAGGGCAGGCAAACAGGGAGGGATTTAGTGCTCCTGCCCGGGCTTTATCGCCTGTGTTATGCTCTGCCACAGCTGGATTGCCTCTGGCGCTGAGCTAGCGGCTTTAAAGTTGTATTAAATGGGGGGTAGACACAAAAGAAGACACTTCCATATCACTGTGATAAAAAGCGATAAGTAAAGGATCAGTAAAGTAAGGAAGAAAGGGAAAAACAGTAACAAGATGACTCCGTAATACCAGGAATTATGTGAAGGAAAATATTTTGGGGGGAATTCTTTCAATGTGCTCCATGAAAGGGACATTTGAGGCAGGATCAGAAGAATTGTATGACCACTTCTCTATGCCATACTGCCTTTTTTTTCCTTGAATAAAACGCAGCCTTACAAAGATTTAACATTTAACTTTTCTTTTATAAAGCGGTTGTCACTTTTAGCGCTGTTACTGCAAGGAAAAGCATCTTTCAGGTGCTTAAACTTTTCTTGGGTTTTGCCTGCTTTAGAAGTGGAATATGATTCTGAATGGCTGGGTGCTGCAGGGGCCACTTTTGAAGAAGTTTGCCCTGGAAAAAGGCTACGGAAAAAAAGCAAAAAAAAAAAAAAAAGGGAAATGCACCTTCTCTCCTCATTAATATAACAAGAACCTGCGAGATAAGACTGTCTGCAGCTGACCTGAAGATTTTTTGCCTGTGCTGCTTTGCCTGTTGCAGACATATCCTTCAAAATTTTGGCCAGTGCTGGGTGTTACTGCCTGCACAAGGGCCTTGTTGTGGTTTGGACTATGGGTCCAAGGAGTAAAGTAGAGCAACAAGACCTTCATGTGTGGTTCACTGGGTAAGCAGGCTCCTACACAAAGCTGGGGCCTGACCAAGTGATGTAAAGACAGCCATAGACCTACCTCTTCCTGGAGTTACTGGGTGGGGAATGGGCTCAGGATGATGAAAATAGGAACTTTATGGGCTCTGCTTGTCCACCAAGAACTACAGAGCCTAAGCCAGGATAAGCAAGAGGACTTTGTGCTGCTGTAGAGTGCAAACACTTCACCCCTGCCCAGCTTACTCGGGAGATGTCTAACGAGTAATAGGTTGTGAAACAGGTGAAACAGGTGAAATAATGAGCACTAAAAGAAATAGCTTGGAAAGGAGATGGAATGGCACTTTTCTTTTGCAGGCACTTGGCTCTCCAGCCCTCAGTAAGGTAAGGGGTGCTGCATTTATTCTCCAGCTTCCAGAAGTCTTTCAGAAGAATGTGTGAGCAGCTCTGCAGTGGGATGTGGGCAGTGCATGATGTTTTTTGGGGACCAGCCCTAGGCAGTGGTTCTCTCCCTGACTGAGGATGTGTGGCAGTGTCCCCACGTGCCATCCTCTGCTGACATCGTAGCTGAGAGGGTGTGCAGCATGTCTGGGCTGTCTTCAGGTTCATTTTGTTCTCTTTGATGCAGATACAGCTGGCCCAGGGGAGTCTTTGCTTGCATTCCTTTTTTTGACGATACAGGCGGAATCAATACTCCCCAGAGAGTCTGTTCAGGGCACTGAAATGCTGTTGGATTTCCACCCTTCCCAGTACACGTGATAGGGCTCACCCATTTACCCAGGCTTTCTCCAGAATGTTGCGTTAAACAGAAAAGGAAAAGTACTCTTGGTATGTTTCTAGTTTATTTTAGCCTAACTATTTTTAGTTCATAAATTAATTTAGAACAGACACGGGAATAAACTGACCATGGACTGAGAGAGAAGAACTCACCCAAAGTGTATTGGTGCTGTCTTCAGCTCTTACCTACTGGTCACTTGGAAAGGCCTGAGGAAATCCCAGGCAATTCTCAGGAGGATGGATTAGGTTAAGTAAATTCACTCTCCCTTCACTATTAAGAATCACAGAAGAATTTGTGCATTTCTGTACGTGATTAAGTGTTGAATTCAAAGCAGCACTTAAGTGCAGGCTGGTCAGTTTGCGTTTCCTAAATCCTGCTGCAATTGGACTGAAGAAACTTCTAAATGCTTCCCATGTAAATAATCCTGAATTCAGTTCCTGAATCAGAATTTAAAATAGGAAGTAAAAAGCATGTAATTTATCTTAATTTAGTAGCTTTTGCATTCCATTTTCCTGAAATGTTAATGCTGACAACGAAATATATAATAGAGGTTCTTTGCTCATTGAGCTATGAATTTGGCAGGTTGCACAAGCCTAAACCTATGATTAGGTTTTTAAGCAGAGGAACATAACAGCGTCCTCCTCTCTGTGGAAAATTGCTTTATGAATGGGTCTTTACCAAAGCCCTCTTTCTTCCAGATTAAAGTACATCACGGCCAAGTTGTCCTGTGTTTTAGCAAAAGTAACCTGAGCAAGACTTTTTGTGGTCAGTTAGAGAAAAAGTGAGTGCTGTGGAGTTTTGTGGTGGCACCGTGCTGAGGCTGGAAATAGAAATGTAGGCAGCAGAAACATCCGCACGATTGAAAATGAAAATAAATCCTAGATGTGACCTTGCTGGCAGAATCTTCTTGTTGTTTCAAGACTTCAGATTTGCACAATTGCGAGTGCAAAGGTTTTCACTAATAATGTGTGAACTTACCCATCTCAGGGAGTCGCTGTATCCCGCTCTGAGGAAGGTGGCCTTGGGCCACCCTGGCCAGGAGAGGGGATCCCCATGGCAGGAGTGGTGAGGAGCCAGTCAAACTCTAAATGCACGCCGTCTAGTACAGGAGAAAGTAATGGGTAGTAGTAATATAAAAGAAATATCACTTTGGAAATGTGAATGAAAGAGCTTCGGTGATGTGGAAGGGTGCAGACACATTGCTTCTGATATGAAAATAAGTAAAACGTTTTAATTCTGAAGCTCCTCGTGGCCCAGCTGTGTGCCTGCCATCACAAAAGGGGGTTTCTTCTGCTTCCCGGAAAGTTCAAGGTTTGGTCAAAATTACACGTGCTACCAATTTCCCACCTCACAGTTTTACATCCTTAGTAGCAGTGTAAATTCAATGTACTTGACAAGTGACTGAGGTAAGGCCATCCTTTACATTCTGCTCTTTGTATCAGTGCCAAAAGCACATCCCATATTTGTTTATTTGTTTGAAAAAAGAATATGTAACAGAAAAAAGGAACGTGCAGGTGAATTATGGTAATACCATATTGGATATACCATGTAAATGGGTATGTGCTGTGTTAAAATTGGACTTTTTTCTTTTCATTCCCTCTCTGACTCACTAATGATTTCAGACAGATATCCGGGGTTTATATATATAATAAACCATTCAACTTTAAAAGGAATTTTACATCCCCATTTAACTTTCGTACTACTTCATTGTTTTATTGAGATCTATTTCTAGAAGTATGAAAGACATGTGCTGCAAGGCTCAGTGAAAGCTCATCTCAGATTAAGTTATCTTATATTTCACAGCTTTTTTCTCCTGTCCCTGGGCAGGTTGTGCTAAAGATGTCCTTAAAGAGCCTCCAGCTATCAATTAAGGCTTCCCTCTCTCACTGGGGATAATCCCTGTGGGAAATGATAGTCTGAGGAACGTGCTTGGAGCAGCACCACTGATATTAGAAGGAATTGTCGTCTCCTTAGAGGCTGAGAGCAGGTTATGCACGGAGGTATAAGGGGGACTGAAGTAATACACGTAGCCTCCTTCAGGCCATGATTTTAGAGCGTCTCCTTAGAGGCTGAGAGCAGGTTATGCATGGAGGTAAAGGGGGACTGGAGTAATACACGTAGCCTTCTTCAGGCCATGATTTTAGACGATGTTTGGGGTTGCACTTTTGCCCATGAGTGTGTCTCGGGGATGGGTGACTTTCTCATTTGTTTTTTCCCCATGAGACACCCTTGGTCCTGAGCACCCTCTGCTCGATGGTGGGCAGCGGTTCCTCCTGAGAGACGGTGCTTTGGGAGAGGAGCACACCCCCATCAATCTCTCTGCAGCCTTGTGCAAACCAACCTTCGCACACACTTCATGGAAAAAAAGGGTAATAAAAGCACTGCTAATCTAGAAGACAGCAGATGGAAGGTCAAAATGTGTTACCGGGATTTTACTCAAACCTTTCCCACCGAGAAGGCTGGTTCTGTTTGTGGCTCATCACTTGGAGACAGGGAAGCAGTGTTAAGGCAACTATTGCCAGCAAAGCA